GGGTCATAAGTATAGCACCACATCTCCTCACCAGGAATGACCTTGGGGAAAAGTCTGGGTGACATTTAGGAGCTGCTCTTTCAAAGAACGTCATGTTTCCACTTGACACTCTTTTTCCTCGTCAGTCAGAATCTGAGGCACAAATTCCACAGCGACCCTTCTCATTCCCAAATCTTCCATGAACATTTGCATAACAGAGCTTGATGGTAGACCAGATAACTTCCCCATCTCTTCAATGGTCCATCAGCAGTCTTTGAGCCCAAGTGCATGAATTTTGTGGACATTTTCATCCATTTGGAAAACTGACAGAAAGTCTAGAATGAGGTTTGTCATCAATCAAAATTTCACCATTTTTGAAACAAGGAAAGCACGGGTTCACTGGAGTTTGCCCACAGCTGCTGTCCTTGTAAGCTATGTTCAACATCACCACAGTTTCTGTGGCATTTTCCAGGGCAGTAAACAAAATGTCACAGCAGAACACTGTCCTCTTAAATCAGCCATTACAAAAAACAAAGTTAAAGCAAAACTGTTTCTACAAAAAAATTCACTGTCACCAGAGAGAATCTTTCCAGGCAACACCACTGGGTGCACGAACTCAGAGTGATTTTCCAGATACTTGCCTACCAGGGGAAAATGCCTAGCTTTCTAGCAGGAAAGCTCTATCCAGTGGAGTTTATCTCCATTGTTTTGTGTGCTTGTGTGTTTGTTTGTTTGTTTGCTTGTTTTTTTGTCTGTTTGTTTGTGGGGTTACACCCTCTACATGTAACCCTTTCTAAGAGAATAAAAGCAGCTAAATCTCTTTTAAAGGATTGCTTTGGGAGGTACTGCGGATGATAAAGGAAGCAGTTTAAGGGACTGTGGTTTTCTGGATGGTTTTGTCCTACTTTCTTACATTCAGAGATTAACAAAAAACAATTTCATTGCTTAGAATTTGTGCAAAATAAAATATAAAATGTATTAATCTCCCTCTTCCCTTGAAATATTTGAAAATTTATCTCTGATGAGTTTCATTGTACCAAGAGTTACATAAAAGAATAACAATATTTTGGTTTTCACATGTTCCTGCAACACTTGGTTATATACATTGTTCATATAGATTATTAAGGCAAATTTAGAGATAAGAATTTATTTTCTTTATCATTGGAAATATGAGGCCTCCCTCACAATCATGGGAACAGTGAAATGTGCTCCCAGATGATTCTTGAAGTAGGTTGTTTTGGGGTTAGTGGCTGCCATCAAGTAGGTTCCAAGTTAATGATGACCCTACAAAAAAAGGGGGGGACAGAAACACACCCTGATCTTCAACCATTCCCTTTAAGTAGTTTAGGATCACTGTGATCCTAAAGATTTTTATTGATGAGTTCTTAGAAGTAGATCATCTATTCCATATTACCACACTCTGCTGAGCCTGTTCAGAATCACAGAAACTCCCACTCCTCCGTGTGAAGTGTTGATTTTACCTGATGTGAATCAGCCAAGAATCAAACTTAGATCTAGTGTGTGG